TCCTGCCTGCTTCTGTAGGATCATCTTCCTGTGAGTTTAAAGCTCAGGACTGGACAAGCAATGTTAGGGCTTGAATGTGAATTGTCCAGCATGGGAGCACCTGTTTAAACACTTGGTCCCCAGCTAGTGACACTGTTTGGGGAGGTTGGATATGTGGGTGGCTTTTGGAACTAGGCAACTATGAACAGGCTTTGAGTATATATAAGAAGCCAGCTCCATTTCAGGTGTAAGCTCTTGACTTCCTTGTCTCCACCAAGCCAGAAGTCTCTGCTATAAGCTCCCGCTAGCACAAGCTGACCAGCCCACTCTAGACTCTAGGCCTTTCCCACCATAATGGATTATAATCTTCTGAACCATAAGTCTTAATAAACCCTTCTTCCCTTAGGTCATTTCTTTTTTTTTTTTTCCTTCGAGACAGGGTTTCTCTTGTAGCCCTGGCTGTCCTGGAACTCACTCTGTAGACCAGGCTGGCCTCGAACTCAGAAATCCACCTGCCTCTGCCTCCCAAGTGCTGGAATTAAAGGCATGTACCACCACCGCCCGGCCCTTAGGTCATTTCTGTTGGGATTTGGTCACCAAGGTGAAAACAGTATCTATATAAATAGACTTTCCTCCAATATGGAGCCCACCCCTACCCCTACCTTGTTCAGTAGTGTCTCAAAGCAAAAGCTCATGTGAGCCTCACTGTACTGTTTCTCTTCGTCAGACTTCCTCGGCCTCTTGCTGGTCCAGATTTGCACTGTCCAGAACCATGCTGCTGTGTGGGTTTTCAGCACCACCTCCTGCCATTGCCAAGGCATTGGACCCTAAGCAGCAGATGCTGAATATCAAAGAACTGGGTGTTAGTATTCTGTCTAAACTCCACCTCCACAGTTATCCGGCAACAGCTAGGTATGCTCCTCCCCACAGTTACCTGGGATGCGCACCAAAATCTTTCACCGGGGTCAGAGGCCAGAGCTGAAATCAACTGTACCAAATGTAAAACGGGCTAACCTAATTAGCAACGACGTTGAGTCTGGATTCTGGATCTCTTGGTTCCTTCTCAGGATTCTCTCATCCATCAAGGGTCCTTGAAGGATGGTGCATAGCACCCATAGGCTCTCCCCCGATCCTCAAGGCTGCACACCACCACTGGAGGCAGTGACTGCTGGTCTCCTTCTAATGCTACATGTGTTGGGGAGACCTCTATGCAGTTGCCAGTACCAGACCTGGAAACATTTTCTCAATTCCGGGTCTTTCAAGTGTTCACAGAAGAGAAAACCAAGCTCTAAGAGGTCACAGTGGGGATGGAAGAGAGGATAGTGACAGCCTGGGCTTGTGCCCAGGGTGCCATGTCATCTGTTCCTTAAACAAACCAGCAACACAGGCTGCAATCACTCCCACCCCTGACATTTGAGAAGCCCAAAGCAAATGCAACCAAAGTGGCCCACGCGCCATGTGTCTAAATATTTGAACATTATAAATCAAACTAATAAACTTTGAAATAAGGTTTGTTCTTCCCTCCAGCCTTGACAAATAGACATTTATAAGAACCTCAAAGGCCAGGCTCTGATTTCACATTTTGTAGGGGATCCTTCTAGTCTTGGACTATGGAACTCAGAGGGGCAGAGGAAATGAGGCACACTCTCTCTTTTCTCTTTTCTCACCCTGGACATTTAGATTGGACAAAGGAACTCCTCAGTCTAGTAGTACAGCCTCCATCTGGGTCTTTATATACCAGAAAAAAGACCACAGGCAAATAAGAGAATAGCCAAACATGACGTGTGTGTGTGTGTGTATGTGTGTGTGTGTGTGTGCGTGTGCATGTATGTGCATGTGTATGCATGTATGTGCATGTGTGTGCATGTATGTACATGTGTATGCATGTATGTACATGTGTGTGCATGTATGTATGTGTGTGTGCATGTGTGTGCATATATACAAATCATCACACATGGTGTTCTTACAGATTCTGGGAATTGAACTCAGGAGTTCCTTCTTCCAAGACAAGCACTTTACAGACAGAGTCATCTCCCTAGCCTCAAACACAGCTATTTCACCAGGAACTTCCTGGGTCCTGCTATTCAAACTGTGGGGGGGAGGAGAGGACTGGGAGAGACATGTCTTGAGCCTGCAACCACTTGATCTGGAGCAGGCCCAGGGTAGAGCTACCACACATCCTGGGAGTCCTCTTACCCACACATCAAGTCAACACCAAGGAAATCATTTCCAATCATCCACTAAGTCACTGCATATCAAAGACCTCAGTGACTGCCTCCCACCAGTCAAACACAATCAAGGTCAAGGTTTGAGCCCCAGGTCTTCTGACTCCTGAATCCCCGTTGAGTCTGCTCCCTTCATTGGCATCCCCACCTAGGAAATGCAAAGCGGGTGCTCTCCCCTCCTCTGCCCCATCAGAATCTGTTTGTCCTTTGCTTCTTGCCTCCAGTGAAGGGAGAATCACCTGATCTCAGGCCTCCTATCTCACTTCTCCTCTGCTAGCTTTCCTAAAACAGCTAAGCTGTGGCCTCCCTTCTTAATCCCACTTCCCTGGAGACTGTGTCACCCACCACAGCTCGGCCCCTGACACCTATATATCTGACCTCAAACTGGCCCTCCTCTGTAATTAGGTCCTTCTCTTCCTCTCCAGTTCTCCTACCCAGTTCCAGCACTCCTTGAAGCCTCCCCTAGTCACTCCTAGCTCCTTACCTGGGCTAGGCAGGCATCTGCCCTTTTCTGACCCCAGCAACAGCATGAATGGTTGGTTAATTATCTTCCTAGTAATAAGTGCCTTGGATGACTGGCCCCTAAGTGGATCTAATGGGCTCCCTGCAGGGCAGGAGCCTGCCCTCAGTTGCTGAATGGATCTCTCTGAGAGAAAGGAATACACCAATTCCTGGTTTCTCTTGAAAGTCCCAGTATTATCCTTTGATGGGGGAAAGTCTCTTCCAGGAGCAGCTGGCAGAAGCTCATAGACTCTGGCCCAGGACCTGGCATTCTAACTCTTCCCTGGAGAGAGAGGAGTGCCAGCACCCACCTCAGTAGCCTGGCAAGGTCAAGGTATTTTTATCTAAAGTAGACCTCATGGGTCCAAAGCAGGGTCTGATACTTACAAGATAGTCTTTATTGGATGAGTGAAAAGCTAATCCAGGGAAACAGAAAGATGGAGCATTTTGTGTTTCAATTTAAAAACCTCAAAAGTAGAGGAAGAACTCTGTCCTGCTTGTCTCATCATAGCTGCACAGCCAGCCTGAGAGGGAGGCCTCCCAGGAAGCCATGGGAAGTTAAGGCTCCAATCTTCCACTTTTCCAGGTCCTGCTTTTTTGTTCTAGGGGCCTCTTTCCACTCCAGGGTCATGTGCAAGTCACAGAGATTTCTGGCTTCTTCCAGGTGAGCAGAGGAGCTCCAGTGACCTTCCAGAATGGCACAAGCGACCTGTGATGAGAAGTTACAGAGCCAATCAAGGCCTAGGCTTTCAGTTCCAGGTTTATGCTCCCCAGACAGGTGGCTTATATCTTCCTTGTCTCTGTGTGTGTAGCATCCCTCTTCATATTCTACACACACACACACACACACACACACACACACACACACACACACCCCATACCCTGGAACTTGCTGGAGACTACTGTTGAACCACTTCCTTCCATGAGGTTCTCAGCTGACACCCAGCTCAAACAAATTCCCTAACATCTCTCACCACATTAGCTGACCTGCAAGGAGCACTCGGGCAGCAGGCATGGCAACGACCTAACCAACTACTTGATGATCTTCATACTGCTATCCTCACTCCTAGCCCAGTCTACCTAGAGTCCAGACACACTGGTTCATGGGGAGGGGTAGGTTGGGTGTTGAAGGTCACACCCTTCTCTAGCCAGTAGGAAGGGTCAAGGGGCATCCTTTAAACCACAGCACGTGACTCAAGAAGCAGAGGGTGCCTTTGGACAAGAGGAGACAAAAGTGACTTATTCTCTTGGAAAGACCCTTCCACCTTTAGGGTTTTAGGGAACTGGCTTGGGACAATGAGACCACCTGCTGGCATCACCCTAAGGCCTTAAGTTCTTGAGGAAGCTGGTCTCTTGTGTGGAACCCTTGTCTCAGCCTGCCATCAGGATGGTCCTAAGAGTCTACAAGCATGTCAGTCCAGCTTCTGTTCTCTGTGGCCCTAAGTGCTAGCAGCTCGAGGTGCCCACGGAGCAGGGTTGGACCTTAGGGCAGTAGGGCCTGCCCTTAAGAATATTACGACAAATGCAACTGCTGTTCCCAAGAATGAGGTGCACGTGGAATGAGGCGCAAGAAAGAGGCAACAGGCTCGGGTCAGGCCCACCAGTACTACCTACAGCTCTTTCCTCTTAACGTGCTGAGTCTCAGTTTCCCCATTTGAAAAGTAAGCCAGAGCTGCCCACAAATGTCCACCCAGCTGAAGTCCTGCAATGGTGTGGCACGAGCGGGCCAGTGACAGTTGGCCTGGCTTGGTGGCTGCTGCAGGGATCAGAAACCCAAGCCTTTCGTGGGTGGAGTGCAGCCCGCTTTCCCTACCCACTCCCTCAGCAAACTGCTGACAGTGGCAAAGCCACGTTGCCATGCTTGGGGCGGGGAACGGGGCGGGGGGGGCGGTAAGACGGGATGGGACACAACTCTCTTCGCTTTGGTTTTAATAGGAAAAAAAAGTTTGGGTTTGATTTCGTCTGGGGCTTGCTGAGAGTTCCTGGCTGGGCTTGTCCTTGCACGGGGAGGGAGAATCGGGGGTCTTTAGGACCCGGGCACACTCAGACCAGCAGTGCCGGGAGGCCGACCTGCCGCGGCTTGAATGGGAGGCGGGCGGCGGCGCCGAGAGGCTGCCGGCGGAATAGCTCTGCGGTCGCCAGGCAACCGCCCTGACGCAACGCAAAAGAACGTCCCTTCAAAAAAGAACGGTGAGGAGAATTCGCAGCGCTCCAGAGCTCGGGAGCTCGGGAGCTCGGGAAGCGGGAGCCGAGCTCCAAGGGCGGGCGCGGGCTGGCGGCGGGGACCGCGACAGCTCCGACGACGCGACCGCGACCGGAGCTCAAGAAGGTGAGTTCTCGGCGGTGAGGCTTGGCTGAGGCACTCGGGTGCCCAGGTCTTTAGGGTGGGCAGTGGGGGGTGGGGGGGGGACCTGGATCCCACAGCCTTGGAGGGAAGGGAGACACCGCCATAGGACAGCGTGGTTCCCTCTTCTTTGCTCCTGGGGATTCAGGCCTCTCCGGAAGGCGTGGGGGACCAGGTGTGGACTCCATGCCTGGAGATCTGTAATAGGAGAGGAATCTCTTGGGACTGTGGTCTAGATCTACTCATCTAGGTTGGTGACCCCCCACACCTACACATCTAAGGGAAATGAGAGTTCTTGGTTCATTCCCTAACTCTGAAATGACCCAGGGCCCTTAGCTCTATGGCACCCCAAGAGTGATGATGCTGGGGATACCAGAGGGACTGCACACCCAAACGTTGTGCAGAAGGTCAGCCATGGAGCTGGGTATCTGAATGGCCAGAAAGAACAAATGTGTGGGGGTGGGGTGGGGAGGGGGTCAGCTTTCTCTCAGATGGGGTTTCTGTATGTATTGGTTCTGTTGTGGGTATGCCCTCCTGGGGTCATCTGGAAGATGAGTTGGCTCCAGGTTGGTGTCCCCAGCTTCATATACTCACCAGCAAGTTCTGTCTATCCCTCCCATCACCAAACCATCACCCCTGGAGAATCTTGGATGAGATCAAGTCCTGTACAAAGTGCCCAGTAGATGTGGCTCTAAAGTAGCTTCCCCTCTGCACACCAGTGTTCTCCTCTCTCCTCCCCTCCTTTCTTTTCTTTCCTCTCCCCTTTCCTCTTTCCTTTCTCCTCTTTCCTCTCCTTTCTCCTCCCCTCTCTCCTCTCCTCTCTCCCTCTCCTTTCTCTCCTCTCCCACCAGGCTTGGGACTCAAAGTCCTGGCAAAGCCAAAGTAACCAAGGTACCTGTTAGCCTGTCCTCATCCTCGAGGTGGAAGACCCTGGCAGAGCAGTTTTCAAGAGCTTGGCAAAGCAGCTACATGCTGTACTTCAAGCAATAAAAAGTTAAGGTGCTTCTCTCCCGGTGCCTCTACTGATCTCACTGCTGAGAACCCATGCATCCTTGGTCACTGAACCTTACAATTACCCTTTGAGGAGACAGTGTGAGTCTCTGTTTGTAGACTGAGAAGCAAAGAAACTTGGAACAGTTTGTATGGCTTTGGAAAATGCAGAGACATCCATGTGCCTAACCCCTTGCACTCCAGAAATGCTCTTAGGGGAAGATTGCTTCAGGAGGCCAGGGAATCCACCATGGCCCAGAGACAGGAAGAAACTATTCACACCCACATGAAATCACAGTCACGAGGGGCTCGTCTCATGGCCTAAGAAAGTCCCCTGCATACATAAAGCCCTGGCTTTGTTACCCAGTACTGCATAAACTGGGCATGGTAGCACATGCCTGTAATCTCAGCATTTGGGAGTTGGAGACAAGAGGATCAGAAGTTCAAGACTATCCTTGGCTACCTAGCAAGTTTAAAGCCAGCTTGGGCTACATGAAACCTCATATCAAAACAAAAGAGAAGAAGAGAGAGAAGCAACTAGAATCTCAGACTCAAGTGCACCCTGGGTCAGTGAGGAGGAAAGAAGACAGACCCATTTTAAAGGAGACCTAGAAGGATGAGATTGGCTTAGCTCATGGGAAATGAGGATAGGCTAGTGGGCTAACATTTAACAGGAACTAGCAGTTGAGCCTTGCTAATTGGCAGTCACCTATAGCCTCTGAGTTTCCATAAAGGCTAGGTTGATAGGATCTGGGGACCTGGCCCAGGGGTCCTGCCCCTTAAGGACCAGTTCTCTTCCCAATAACCATTACTACTTCTCTCTTGAGTAGAGAGATAAGGAAAGGAGAGGAAAGAGGACACCAGGGGTCAGAGGTTGGATTACCCTACCCCTACCCTTCCTATACCCACCTGTCCCCCTGAGCACTCTCTCCCCTCTACCAAGCCACCATGCCAGATTGCCTCAGGAGCAGCTTTGTGGACAGTCACCCTGAGTCTCATGGGCATCCAGGGAGGGCCTAGTTCTCTAAGGTAGCTCCTCTGAATCAGGCCCTTTTCACACCTCAGCCTCTCCAAGAGTCCCCTGGTATAGTGTAACTACCTTCATGGAGGCATTTACAGAGTACCACCCAATGGGACAGGCTTCAACTTCTTACCTCAGAGTGGTGGACTGAGGCCTCCCTTCCTCACTGGAGCTAAAAATTCTTTTTAGGATACCCTGAATGAAATGTGGGAGCTAGTTGATAGCAGATCCCAGGATGTGTTACATGGGACCTATATAGGGCAAACCTGGGTCAAATCTCATTTTTCATGTTGAAGGACAAATTTTCATGAGTCCATGCTTCAGCCTATGTGTTGGCTACTGTGCCAACTTTTAAAGGCTGGTGTGTATTTCCTCATTCCAAGAGGTCAGCAGAGCCTCTGAGCAGTGCCTGGGGACTGACCAATGGCAGCTAGAAGGACCTGGGATGAGGAAGTTGGGGTAAAAACCTTGAGCAAGTTTTGATGAGGACCTGTATGACCAGGAGGCCACAGGGTAGGGGGTGGCTTTCCCCAATTTATCACCAAGTCAGAAGTGACATCCTTAGATGCCTAGCCTTTGAGCATGCACAGGTATGGAACCCTGGGGACACAAGACAGACCTGAGCCTGACCAAACTAAGTAGCTCGAGGCAGCTGCCCCAGACCAAGAGCTGCCCGTTGGCTCATCTGTCTTGTTGGTCTGTTGGTAGCAGCTGCTGAAAACATGGCAGGCTGTAAGCCCATTATCAAGGTTGAGTGAAAGCCAGTAGGATGACAAGTTCTGCCCACTCATAGGCATCTTTTGATATGTTAACTTCCAAAGCTCCAGCAGATCCAGTGGGCCTGTCCTGGGTGGGCTTTCTAACACCCTAGCCATCTACCTCTTGGTACCCTGACCATCTCCTCCTTGGAGTACTCCCTAGATGTTTTTAGTTTACAAGTCCATCTGCCCTTCAAATTCATGCATCAATCCACCCTTCTGGAATACCTCTGTCTTCAAAAAGATCAGAGGAAAAAAAGAAAAAGAAAAAAAGAAGAACATGTTTGCTTTGCTGGTTGCTGAATGCTCCTGCTGCCAGAGAGAGCAACCCCACACCTGCACTGCTGCCTCTGGAAGGGGTGGGGATTTCCCACCCAGTGAACCATGGAAGGAGGGAGTCTCCATTTAAATGCTGCTGGGGACAGCTAGCCTGGTGGAACCACCCAGAGCACCTCTCTTTACCTCCAAAGCCGTTTAGGATCTAGAAGAGCATCATGCAGAAGACTCTTATAAAGACGGTCTTACCCTCAGGGAACAAAGAATCTGGCCAGAGGCAACATTGAATCGGTGCCCTGCCTATCTTAGAACACACAGACATGCTTTGCTGAAGTGGCAATGGTTGGGACGCTGTTTTCCCAGGGGACAGGCTGAGGAGAACCCCATCCAGGCACAGTCAAGGGCAGGAGGTGTCACTGGTACCACACTTGCTTTATCTCTTTGATCCTCCTAGACCATCCGGCTGCTTCTCCTGTGATCTTGTTTTATGGGTGAGGACACTAAAACCTGAGACCTGAGGTTTATCATTCAATATCACAGTGGTAGTTGGTGGCCAGACTCCAACATCTCCTTCTGCTCCATCCCTGTCTTGTAGCTCTCTGAAGCACCAGGTCCCCTCCTGATATGTCCCACCAGGTGCAGCTTCTGCTGACAGAATGGGAGCAAGGGTACACAGCCCCATGTCTCTTCTGTCTTCATGCACTTAGAACACAGAACCTCTCCACACCCCACAGTGGGCACAACATGCTCCTGTCGCAGGTCACCTCGGACAGTCCCATCCCAGCTTAGGCAAACTGGAACCTGACTGTGGACCCTTCACTGTGTCCCATCTAAACTCAAAAAACAGCCTAAAGACCCTCTAATCTTTGAGCAGTCAGCATACTCAGGTAATGTGTAGAGGTGTGATACTCAGGTAGACACACCATGTACCAGGAATCCAATTAAGAAATCTTTGCAAAACATTTGGGCCTTGGGAGCTCACAGAATAGAAAACAAACAGAGCAGATTCTCACTTGAACCAGACTTTGTTGATTTTGCTTATTTGAAGTCGGAGCCTATTACCGTAGATTTGAATAGCCTAACTGCCTTCCTTGTGTGGGGGCCAGGGATAAATGCCACTTGGGACACTTTCCAGTGGGCCACTGAGTCCTTAACTGTGAAGTGGTACCTGAGTTTCCTGGGAAGCATATACTGCTCTTGTAGCTAGATTACACACCTCAGTTGCCTTCTGCTTTAATAGCCGCAAATGGCTCCAAAGGCCAGTCTGTGTCTGATTCCTAGGAGCCACTGTGTTCTTTGGAGAGAATTCTGTGGTCACATGGGGTGGTTGGCTGAGACAGTGACAGACTGACTGCCCTTCCAGGAGGACCCCCTTCCTTCTCTTCATTTCTCAAGGCTTCTTTCCACCCTCTTATTCTGCCTCTCAGGTACCTTCCTCTTCACGTGCCAGAGAAGCCCTAGCCCAGGGCCATGGAGGGGACACGATGTGGAGTCTAGCTCTCCTCTTTCTTGCAGCAGTTCCGTGCTCTCTGCCAGCCTTTCGGGGATGATGGAAATTAGCTGTGTGGGTCCTGGGAGTCATGACCTCTCCCAGATCCATAGAGAAGCACACATCTTTCTTGGCGGGTTTTCTTAGCAACTTTTTTCACTGGGCAAAATGAAAGCAAAACTCACAGGCATCTTGCAGGAGGCCTGTGGAGCCAAGCCTATCAATTATTCAGCACAGACCTAGCATTTTGCATTTGCAAAGGTCTTTATAAGTGTGTGTGTGTGTGTGTGTGTGTGTGTGTGTGTGTGTATTTTATAGATTCTTCCCTCATAGTGTCTCAGAGTGGTGAAGCAAGGCTTCCCATTTCTTAGACAATGAAAGCAGGACTCTGCTTAGAGTCTAAAGATTCAGGTTCAAGTCTAGTTAGCCCTACTAATGGAGCCATGGAATCCTGGGCCAGTCTCATGATGTCTGTCTCTGGTTTGGGGTTTCTATGGGGTCTAACTTTTGGGAAGTTTTCTCTTGCCTAGGCCACAGAAAAAGCTTATAAATGGCAGTGCGGTTTGAAAATGTTCATGGATAATCTTATTTCAGGTATACAGCTAGAAGGATTGGATCCCAAGTGGAGGGGCAGCCATTCACATAGGACACTGCAGACCAAGCCTTTCTGAGTGAAGATCCCTTGGAGAATGCAAGTAAGTGGGTTCCATTCCCTATGTCTCCAAAGTGCGGTCACCAGCCCACTAGCTCCTATGGTCTGAGACGCTGTCCCAGAACGAAGCAGAGGCCAGTGCACACACTGTGTGTTCACTGAAGCAGCTCTCCAGTCTCTCCATCCCCAGACTGAGTTCTCATTTCAGTCTCCCTCAGAAATGCTAGGATCCAAAAGGAAAAATATTTGAGGCTGCCCAAGCCAGATGCTACCCCTGCAGCCCCACAGCTTCCATCACTTATATTGGACCTTGTGCCATCTGTCCTCCTACACTGGATCCCTCAGGCCTAGCATCAGGACCGCCTCTCGGTCAGTTCAGGACCAGGCCAGCTCCCTACACACAGGCAGAAGTCAGTTACTTGTATGGTGATACAAGTTTCAAGAGTCATGTGGCAGAACCCCCCTGAAGCTCAAGTGTCCCTACAGCAAAGCCTATTTGCAGAGGAAGATTCTGAGCCCAGAGACAGATAACAGCCTCTTTGGAAGGAAGGAATGGATTTTCACGGTGCTTCATTGCGGGAAGGAACTAGCCAGGCAGCACCCAGATGGCTTCATCATGGCCCTGGGTAGACAGCTTGTTCATTCATGTTCACACATATCCAACAAGACAACCATCAACCACCATACTGCATACATGTGCATTAGAGTACACACACACACACACACACACACACACACTCAGAGAGAGAGAGAGAGAGAGAGAGAAAGAGAGAGAGAGAGAGAGAGAACAGCTATTCCACAGCCAATAAAACACACACACATCAGCACAATTAGCCCCCTCCCTGCCCACAACTGCAGCCAGGGACACCCCATTTCAGATCCTCCCAACACTGACTAGGAGCTGGATTACAGATGGGCCTGGGAAGGGGAAAGATGACTGGCTGAGGGCCAGATCAGCGGGTGTCCCTCCTGCTTCAGTCACCATGGCAACTCCAAAGAGGAGGGAAAGGGCTCTGGGCAGTGCCCAGCTTGTATCAGCAGCTTGGGGTTGGGAGATGGGGGTGGGGCTGTGTCCCCTTCTCTCATCCCCAGCTGGTCAGTACTGAAGCATGTCTGCCAAGCACGGATAGCCATATTACAGAGCACACCTTCCGGCTTGGGTGAGTTGGATAGGAGCTCCCTACCCCATGCAAGATAAGCATCAGGTTTATCATTAAACCTGAACAGATAAGCCTGCCTGGCCCAGGAAGCCCAGATCTATAATTCTTTCACCACCTGAAAAATCTGTAGAGCCCAGGGAGTGTCTTTCCCTTCCTCATTTCATCCACCCCAAGGCTCTATGACAGGTTCCTCTTCAGAGAAGGAGCCCAGACTCGAATAAGAGACAAGAAGGTGTGTGTAGGCTGTGAACTCAGCTCACTTTGCCCTCCACTCTACAGCCTTGGAGACCATGCAGAGCACAGCCTGTGGGTGGAAGCAGAGGGGGCTGTGGGGGCCGCCTGCCTTAACATGCTGATTGGGAGTCTAAAGACATTGTCTTTCGTTAGGTCACAACTTTCTGATTGAGTTTGCTGCTTGGTAACATGCAAACACACTCAGCAGAGTAACACAGACTTCCTTGTATTTGGGTGAGTCTCTTCCACTGACCAGGCCTGGCCTGGCTCAGCTGTACAGGATTAGGCAGCCAGGCAGTGCTGGAGTGTGAGAGCTAGACTCACTGAAGATAACAGTCATTCCTTGTACCTGCCTTACAAAGAAAAGTCAGATCCTAAGGGGGCTTGACCCATGCTGTGGCCAGTTCTTCATTCCAGAATCTTCTCTAAAAGACTAAGTCATACCAGCCGATGGAAAGTTTTCTACATGGGTGGGACTCAGAAAGGAAGTAGCCAGCCATGTCCAGATAGCTGTTCTAGAAACGTTACGGCAGTCCCAAGGAATGTGATGGGAGGCTGTGGTGGGCTGTCAAGGTATCCTAAGCCATAGGCTGGTCACTCAGTCCCCAACTCACTTTGCCCAACAGGGTAGTCTAGAAGACCTGAGCCTGGCCTTCCTTGTTATATGTATGTGGTGTGTCATCACAGTCAAGATGACCCTTGAGGTAGGGACAGTATCACTGGACTGCAAGAGCTGGGAAAGGGCTGTCTATCTCCAGGACAGTTGTGTACCAGAGGACAGATGAGCCCTGTCCTGTTGAAATCTATAAGAAGGGAGAGAGCTTATCCCTTAGCCCCAAGCTCAACCCTGCTGGCTTCATCCTATTCACATCCACCCAGTTCCAACTCTTGTCTTCTGTGTTCATTCTCATCTCTGTGCCTCAGTTCCAAATATAGTGAGCATGCAGTCACAGGTCCTCAAGCTCATGAAATGCTCTTTTTTTCTTCCAGAGTGTCTGGCTTGATAGGAATGGCATTAGAAGCTTGGTAGTGTTTTTAGTAATATCTAGAAGCGTAGTTGCTTGGATGGGATCCAAGATGTACTGTAGAAGATAAAGGGATAGTGGAGCCCCAAAGAAGCATCCAAGGGCACAAAGGAAGGGGCCACTTAGAAGGAGACAGCATACCTGGGGTGGGGGGTAGGCATCAGTGGGTGAGGAGTGGGGGGCTATGGTAGGCATCAGTGGGAAGTTGGCAGAAGATAGAGAGCTCCCAGCTCTCCCCAACAGGACCCTGTTCCCAAAAATCATGCTAGTCAACCTTGCAGGAACCTTGTAAAGTCAGAACAATTGGGGCTCCACTATGTTAAGGCCCTCTGGGAACTATTATCTTTGGTGTTCTGCTGTGCTAAGCCTAGGGCACCCATCTCTACCTGTGTTCTAAATAATGTGCCTCTTTTCCTGGATGAAGATCTCAGACCCTTACCAGTGTTCCTGGGCTGGGGTTTTGTGACACAGGTCTTTTATTTCCAACTTGTAAAGTCAACCCAAAACACTAGGGTTCCTGTACCTCTCTCTCAGGAAGCATGGAAAGTCTCCAGGTGACATCAGGAGTTAATTTTGAGAATACTCTACTAGTGCAGGGCTGCAAGAGGCTCAGATCCATGTAGAGCAGCTATAGGAGGGGGGGGGGGCTGTAGCAGGACCACTCCTGGGCACGTCTTGCTATAGGAAGTGAGGTAGCCAAAGAGGGGCACATCTCCAAAAGCTGTCCAGGCTGGCCAGACATACAAAGATTTGCCCCAGTTTGGGAGTCCTGCAGCACCCATCAGGGAAGGCCCAGAGCATGTCTTCTTCCTCAGTGACCCCTGGTGGCATTTCCTGCTAGAAGGAGCAGAGGAGGTGTAAATAGCCACAGATGGTAAACTGTCACCCTGTCCTCACCAGGTGCTGTTTACTGTCGACTGTAAAGTAGGAAACAACCATAAATGCAGACAGACTCAGCAAAGATTCACTAAGAAGAGGGTGACTTCTTATCCTGTTAGTTCTCAACTATAGTTGGTAACCCTCTCTAAGGGATACAGGGACATGTGGGAGAAAAGGGTCTTTGGGGTGTCACAACATTCCACGACATTGCTTGACTCTTGGCTACATGTTTTGCTCATGTAAATGAGCTGTGCAGCCCTGACTCTAGCCAGGGCTCCTGAGTGTAGGCAACCGAAAGCAGCAAGGTGGTAACGACACTGGGCAGCCATAGGAAGTGAGAGGGGATGAGGGCCAAGGAAGAAAGCAGGTAGATGCAGGGCAGATCCAGAAGTCAGAGCCAGCCCCTGGTTATTCAGTAGAGACCATTGTCTCAGTAGAGACCATGTCTGCATTTCACAACTGTCTTGGGACTGGTACCTAAGTGGCCACATGTGAATTCTCACTGGCTTTTCATCTGGACCTCACGCACTCCAAATTCAGAGCCCAGGCTTGAGTCTCTGATTGGTCAAGCTCAAGTCACATGCTTAAATATAGTAGGCAGTGCCTTGGCAGAAGAAGGGGACTGGGGGCTGGTCCTGCCTCTGGTCCTGGAAACACAACATGGGAATTCCCTACAGACAGCAAAGGAGGAGGTTAGTTGGGGCATAGAGAAAGACAACAGCCAGATCTCAGCAAGCATCTGCCATGTTCTTTTCCTTCTTTCCCTTACTATATGTTTCTGCTAGCCAGTTAGAACTGTCAGGAATCCAGCTGCAAGTAGCTTAGGTTTCAGAGGAGAATCTGAAGGGCTTTGTCATCAGAGCCCAGGTTGTAGGCTGTCGGGAACAGAATAAATATCTGTTCACTTCAGGTGAGGAACCAGTGATGGACCAAAGAAATGATGTACCCAAGATAGCTTAGTGAGCCAATGGAGTTAGGGAACAATTGGAGTTCCCTGTGGGAATGTGGGTTTCTTCTGCACCACCGAAGAAAGTGCTCCCTCTAGCAATTGTTAATTGCTTAATATGCCTGAGGGAAGGTGGGGCTTCGTGAGCTCCTTCCTTCCATGATGGAATATGAGCCCAGTCTTCTATCAGTCATCTGTGGGTAATATGAGCTGCTGAGAGTTCAAAGGGCAACAGTCTTGTCATGCCCAGAGAACAGTGTCTCACAACAGGCAGGCTTCTAACAAGGTCTAATTGAGGGCCTCAAACTGTCTTGTGTGCTTGGTGTTAATGTTCTAGAGAACATTACACCAGTAAATGTTCTCCCTGTGATAGCAAGAGCCCCTAACAACTCCAGTGACTCCTGGGAGTAAGTGCTCTTATTAGCTCAGCTAAGTCACCTGAGGTGAGAGGAGATATCAGTGGCCTAGAACTGAGGGGTAGGGTTCCTCAAAGCAAGGTGGAATGATCTTTCTGGAGGACAGAAGGCAGGAGAAGGTGCCAAGTGGAAATGACCTCATACAATGTTGGGCACCAAAGAAGTCCTCTCTGCTTCAGTTCAAAGTCTCAGAACATGGCCCAAGCTGAGTCTGTGCCTGACTTGCGTGGGGAAGGGGAGGGGAGGCTTTACACCTGCATCCAGCCATGTGGGTTACAGACTAATTCTTGTTCAGACACTTCCCAGACAGGGCAGGGAAGAGATGGGTGTGCCAGCTCCTGAGGACAGCTAGAGGGGATGTCCACAAGAAGCCCTGGAGCCACACCTCTGCTTCTCGGAGCCCATTCAACTGGCACACACACGAGCAAGCGCAGGCCACAGGGACAGCAGTCTGCTCTATGTGCCCACTCATTCCAGCTTGAATACAGAGGGGCAGCACTATGCTAAGTTCTGGGTCTAGTATCAAAATACTGGCTCACATTGCGAACATCACAGTGTGGTAGAGGAGACCATCATGAAGGCCTTGTTAGGGACTGGAAAGCTAGCTCAGTTGTTAAGAGTACTGGCTGCTCTTCCTGAAAACCCAAGTTGAACTGCTGGCACCTGCATGGTAGGTAGCTCACAGACACTATACACATGTAGTGCCCACACATACATGCAGACTAAACGCCCATATACATAAAATACAATAAACCTTATAAAAAGATGACCCTGGTGTAAGTGTGGTGGTTTAAGAGGGGGAAGAAGCCCATCCATTAAGAGATCGCCTAAACACAGACACCAAGGGCTCAAGTCTCAACTTCACCACTGACTAGCTCTGTGACCTTAGGCAAAAGACCAAACCTATCTGGGCCTCAATCTCCCCATCTGTACAACGGAGACAATAACTTGTGCACCATAGGCTTCTGTGTGTTAGGACTGGCTTAGTTTTTAGGATGACTCCTAGTGTGGTTGCTCTGAGTATTAGCTAATCTTGTGATGACATCATTGCTTTCCTGTGTGCTGTCATTACCAGAGCACACCACCCAGCTAGCAAAGATTAAAGAAATCTTCTGGAAGGAGAAGGGCCTCAAATCCCTGAGAACTGAAGTAGAGAAAGGAGGGAGGAAGGAACAGCCGTACAAAGTTATGGGATTTAGGGGGGCAGGAGAGGCAGTGTGTGTGTGTATGTTAGATTGTATCTCCTGAAGAGAAAATGATGGGGTCCAGTGGAAAGAGTCTAAAGGAGCATTAGTAAACAGACCCCTAGACTTCCTCTGCCCAGGAACCAATTGGGGAAGTGGGCTTGAAGGCTTTCCAGATGAACACATTAGCTCATAACGAGACAAGGTGTTGGCTGACGGATGGAGCTCCACCCACCCACCCACCTCTTCCAGCAGCCCAGGGATTAGCTCACAGCTGGCAGAGCCTCCTGTGCTCTCCTGGAAGCCTGGAGCATGTTTGAACAGCAACCATGTGTGCAGAGTGGGTTCTCAGGCCCACACATCACTTCTTCAGAGACACTGGGACACCTGCAAGGCTTGTCCCTGCTACTAATGGGGCGTCAGCCACGTGGGACATACTTGAGCCCTGGTGAGATTACGAGATTGTCTGCTTTCTTCTGGTGCCCTGGGCCCCAGGTCTAAAAGTGCCCTTTGGCTTCCTGCCTTTCTCTAAGTTTACTGGCCCCAGGAGACTCTAGGAGAGGTGAGCCCTTGGTACTGTTGCTCAGCATGTCAGAGGGCTCTTCCTGAGCCCAGGCTTCAGAACACCCTAGTATTTCAAGAAAGACAGAAGGGCCCTGCTGCCATTCTGCCCACCCAAGAAGCTGCCCATGGATGGCACCTATCCCAAACACCCATCCAGCACCTTCCCACCAGCTCAGGACGAAGCTAGCTAAGTGCCCACTCGATGGGCTGTTGACGACGAACCTTCCTCCTGGCACCTCTCCAGGCCTGTGTGGGTAGCATTCCAGGCCAACTCCTACACCCAGTTATAGAGGAAGGAAGAAACCCTCTGGACCTCTTCAGATACCAGGGTCATTTGTTTCTAAGGAAAGATGCAAACGAGCAGAGAGAACTCAGGTCACCCAAAAGATCAAGGACCCACAAATGACAGCTCATGGCAGTGGTGAGGTGACAGGACTGGAATGTGGCATCATCCATAGGTTACATCATCCACTTTACAACCTTTTAAAATGTAATTTTATCTAGGCCTCCTGCATGATGGGTACAGAGCTAATAGCTCTGTTACTTTGATTAAACCTCAAATCCCCTCAGTCATCGATACCCTTAACAGAGGCAGACATCATCCCGAAATCCTTTGGAACTTTTTTTCTGTTTTAAACCAAAGACCCAATGTTTGCATTTTGAGAGGCCCGTCTGCAGAGTGTGCACACACTGGCTGTATCCAACATCTCTGGGGAGGATGGAGAGGCACAGAGTGGTCCTGACACCTCAGGTCCAGAACACAGACCTGACAAGCTGCCTTTTACCTTTGAGCTGGGTAGAAAGACGCTGACTGAAACCACAGGGTGCTGTGTGCCCAGGTCCCAGCTGCCTATGGCCTGCTCATGGAAGCACTTCACCTTCCCCGTCTCTGTGCTCCCCACTTTGTGGTACCTGTTCTCTCCATTGACTCTTAGATGAGGGTGACGCTGGAGAGAGCCAGAGTATATACCCTGTACTTCACAGACCCATGAAAAGTAGTGGCTCAAAGGCTCCCTTGGCTAACTCATCTCACTGAACTCTTGTTCAGGCCTTCTCTGCATCTAGTCAAAAGCAGTAATTAAAACAAAGCTACACAGCGAGACTGGAGTGAAGACCCTTACCTAACCCTGCAGGCTGCTACCCTGCGCAGAGAAGCATGCAGGAGTAGGAAGGCCTTCCCGCCTGTGTTGTCTCTCCCAGGATTTGGTGCTGCTCATCAGCCTGTCTAAATTGGACTTTCTCCAAAAAAACACCTCGCTGGCTGTAATGAGAGCTCCCTTGACTGAGGAAGGAAGCTTTCTAGGGTTCAGCTGTCCCAGGTGTGCTGAGAATGAAGGCACCTCAGCACAAAAAGCAGACAGCAGGCGCCTGGGAAGGGCCCCAGAAAGCCACTCCCAAGTTTTCACACTTGGGAAGAGATCTGAAGAAGACACCATGGGAAAGTATAGGGGCAGAATACCAAGCTATCAGTCAGAGAGCATATGTGAAGAGATGGGTAGTCTCAACTCCTTACACAGGAGACCAGACTTGAGGCTCAGCTAGCCTGACAGCCCAGATCTAGGCTCAGATCCCAAGCTCACCATCTCAAAAGAAGGTTTTCTAGCTATGTGCTTGGAGCTTCTGGAAACTGAAGCTGCTGCTGGTGGATCCTTGGGGACCACATAATGGGCTCAGAATCCTTTGGGATGATGAAGAATCTTCAAGGTACCATGACCTTGCCCATAGAAGGCAAGAAATGAAGCTGGTTTTCTCTGCTATCTGTGGGGTAGAGTGTTCTTCTCATTTCCTAGTGATGCCCTAGTGAGGGTAGGCTCAGACGCTGGGGAGGGCGAAATCCAGTGCTCTGGTCTGCTCTCCTCACAGTCCAGGGTTGTAGGAGTGGCCCTGAGCAGAAAGCTCTCACCTTCCTGAGGATCTGTGTGCTGTCAAGAAGAACCCTACATCCTCCCTCAATAGCCTCCAGTTGTTTCCACACCTCCCCCATCTTGAATCTTCACCTCCATCTATCCCCAGTTCCTGCCACTGTGATAAGGTATCCCCTGAATAAATTTTTCTTTGGATTAGGGATTTTTAAAACTTTGTTAGATACTGATCTGATTCACAATCACTAAAAATTGAAGAAAAATTGAAGAAACAATTTCATGCATTTCAATAGGTAGGAAGACAAAAATTGTTTTCTATCAGTTCCCTAAGAAACAAAGCCACATCTCAAGTGTACTCCACTAACTGAAAGAAGCCTAGGCTTGTATAATGTAATGATGGAACAGTCTCAGAAAGAAAGAAAATCCTCATCAGGGTAGAGATAGTGCCTGTGTAAAGGCAGCATGACCAGTTTGTGTCACCATGTAGTCGGCGGCTAAAACACACACAAGTCCAAAAACATCTCTATTTCTTCCCTCTTTTTCCACACAAGGACAGCATAGGCTCCAAGAGGCTGAACCTATAGCTTTTCGTCTGGGCCTTATCTTGGATTCGTTTCCACATCAGTTCATTCCTGTTTAGAGCTCAAAACAGAGATATGTTTCAAACCCAAGTTAAAGTCATGGGCCTCCTACTGTGATCTGCCCTTGCCCAGATCTCCCTGGACACGAGACACTAAAGCTGGGAGCTCGGGTCTGCTTCTAACTCAGCTACACCTTGATATGACGGGCTAAGAGTCTTGGCTATATCCTTCACTAGAGCCAAGCTGATCAGCTCAGAGCATGGTTGGATCCCTTGCAAGGTGGTGCTGCCCCCGTGTTGCAATCTAGGTAAATGGGAGAAATATCTTTCCACAAGAGTGAGTCATGAGTCTCCTTCAGTTTCACAGGCTAGCTCCAGCCGGCAGCTCCTTTCCTGCCATGGCTGCAGGTTTATTTGCTTCCTCTGATGAGGTGAGGTCAGGTATTGTTGTTGGAGCCAGGAGCTGAGTGTGGATGAAGGGTGGGGCTGTGGTGGGTATGAGGGTGGCTAGGGGCAGTAGACACCTGTCCTGAGTCTGTGTGGGATCCCACTTGGCCTGTCAGCTGGCCCTGTGGACCTGTCCAGAGGAGAAACCTGTGTCCTGAGATCCAGACCAGCTGGCCTTTCCCCCTGTTCCTTGCTGAGGGATCTGTCTTGGTGAGTCACTTGGCTTCTTGGAGACTCGGGTTCTTGCTTTGTGAATTGGGTGTTAAAACAAACTGGCACTTGCTGCAAGGTCTTCCATGGGCTCAGAGAGGTAGAATGGTTTTACAGACAGTAAAGCTCTGTCCAGTTTTATCAGTTGCTCTGCATGGAATCTGTGAAATCGTCTTAGGTCTTGCCAAGAACTGGTGCTGAGCCTCAGTTTCCCATCTTGGGGAGTGAGACCAGGGCTGATGTGATTATTTTCCTTCCTGTAGACCTACTTCCTGCATTCCCTTCGACTTTGATCTGCACACCTCCAGCAAGCATAGAGAGATCTTGGAGGAGGCTGTCCCGAAGATTCCTGCCAATGCTTGTCTGATCCTGCCTTCTATGAAGCATGGCCACCACAGGATTACGGGACAAATCATAGACCCTGAGCCACACAGCTGCTCTGAAAGACACACTCTACAGCCTTGCTTGGCTCCAGGTGCTGCCAAGCCTTGAGACTCACTCCCATCCCAACGATGCCTTCAGGAACCATGGTCACAGCTATATGAGACCATTACAGAGCAGGGCTTGACCTTGCTACCCAGCAAGCCTCCTGAGTGGCCCCCAACACCTCCCATGTCTGGCTACCAGGGCAGACTAGAACATGTCTGTGCCCCGGATCCAAGTGGAAGAAGTGGGTGAGAAAGACAGGCCAGCAGGGCCACCCGTACCTTCTGATGACCACCTCCTCAGCCTGAAGGCCCTCACTGAGAAGCTGAGGCTGGAGACCCGAAGACCTTCCTATCTGGAATGGCAGGCCAGGCTGGAGGAGCAGACGTGGCCTTTCCCGAGGCCAGCTGCCCAGCAAGAGACAAGTCTGGAGCAGGGAGCATGTGGGGGTGGAGAGCCTCTGATGCCTCTGAAGGAGTCCAGAGAGCTTCTCCCACCTGCCAGGAATGCCAGCAGGGGTGACAGGCCACTGACCACAGGCAAGCTGGAAGGCTTCCAGAGTATCGATGAAGCTATAGCCTGGCTCAGGAAGGAACTGGTGAGTGGCTGCCCGCCAAGAGGCCCGTATGTGTTCCATGCATGTTCTCTCCCCCTCATCATTCTGTCTGACTCTGCTGTGTCCCCACATCATGTTTGTCTTCCCATCTCTGCCTGATTCCCACTTGTACATCCGGCTTCCTATTAGGTAAAGGGTAGATCTCATTTCTCAGTGGATACATGGGGCCTGGGTCAGCCAGCTTCTAATCAAAGATCTAGAGGAAGCAAGTGTTAGCCCAAGGATCTGAGCCCACACGTATTCTCACCCTCTCCTCACCAGCATTGGAGTCTCCTACTCTTAATTTCTGGACAGCTAAGAGAGCCCCAGAGTTTGCCTGAACTTAACTTCTCTCTAAAACCCTCTCCCCATCTACCCCGGTTACCTACAGGATTGGGGACCACCACTCATTCAGCAAGAGAGTTGCCTCTTTCCCTGAGCTGGGAGTTGACACTAGCTGGATGGTGGGTCTCCCTGGGTGGCCAGCTTTAGGAAGGACTCTCAGTTTGGGGTTCATAGCTGTAAGTACTGGGGCTCAGCATGGAAGTGCTGTTTAATAATTCAAGGTGTACAGAACTTCCAGAAGGGGGCACATGACTGATTATGCCTGGGGTGAAGGCTTTGCCAAAGGACGTTGAGTAAGAGTCTGCCCAGAAGTCAGGGTGGGTTAGGCATTCCAGACCGAAGGAGTGAGCAAGGGCAGAAGATGCTGAGTGGAACAGCAGCTGGATCCTTTTACTGCCCACAGGCAAAACAGACTCCCATCAGGAACCTCTCCCCACTGCGGAAAGCCTAGAAAAGGAGATGGAGCGTTGTCCCATCCTGCCCCAGGAAAACCACTAGGTCCCCCACCCCTAACAGTGGCTTCTCGGCACACCCAGACCTGAAATAAAGCCTCCCCCAAGCTCTAGCTGCTTCCCTGGGTCACCTCCAGGGCCATCTGCCTCCAAGGAGCCAACCATCAAGGGTCAGCTGCCTTCCAGAGCTGGTGGTAACTCTCCGGTCAGCAGGAAAGCAGAGGCATGCTTGGTTTCTTTTGATGAGTCCTGTGAGACATCTCTCCAGTGGGGCCTGAAATTTCTTGTGGGGTGAAATAAAGCATTGGAGTTCAGGGTGGTGGCAGCTCAGGAGATTGGGCATCCGGTTAATTGGGAACCTCTTTAGTTGCTATTGAGACTGCTCAGAACACACTGTTCCATTGTGTATGCTGTTAGGGTTGAGCATGGGTATGCTTGCTATTGGCTTTTGAAGAAGACAGGGCTCCTGTGGATTCTTGCTTTGTGACGATAGGGTGCTCACAGGAGCATGAGAGGTAGAAAGGTGGGCCTGAGACAGACCCTGAATTCCTGAGGCTAAACTGCTTTTATCTGTTCTTCACAGAGGAACAAAAAATATTCCCATTAGCCAAGGATGCAGTTTGTTGGTTTGAGGTTCATTTGAGAGTTTATTGTTTCTAGGAGCTGAGTTGTTTACTGTTTAAATAAGTTCACATTCCTTGTGAGCTCTCCTTTAGAGTGGGAAGTAGAGAAATATTTTCCTCTGAGTGAACAAAAAAAAAAAAGAAAACAGTAGGGGCTTCCTTCAAGCTTCCTGGACACCTCCCAGCATCCTTTAGATAGAAAGATACTAGGGGAAGCTTTGGAAAGATCTGGGATATGATGAACACCTAGGATGTGATGGCATTCAGTCTTACAAAGGTTCTGTGCACTTATGTCACTGCTCCCATCACACAGATGAGAGTCAGTGACCTCACCAGGAAGTGACAAAGCTGGGGCTCAGGTCACAGGACTAGAGAGGGTCCAGCTGATCGTGCTGGAAAAGCTATTTGGCCTTGGATCTCCAGTGTGCATCCAGAGCCCCCTGAGTCTACTTTAAGGATGAACATTGTGTTCTGTGGGTCTGAGATCAGATTTGGGATTTAGAATTTCCAATATGTTCCAAGGGACACTAAATGTCATATGCCATACCACCACATCTAGAGTACCAAGAAGTGAAAGGGACTGTGAAAAGACTTCAGAGGACAGATTCTGGATTCCCCAAGTTTGAGCTCCATACCCTGTCCCTGACTTAACAGCCCCACAAAGCCAAGCTCAGACAGCAGAGGGTCTTAATGAAGAGTTCCTCCCTACATATTCCCAGCCCAGTGGTGCCAGAACCCCACCTGCTTAGCGCTGCTGTCCCAGAGGCTAGCAGCAGCTCCAACGCTGAGTTCAGGACTCCCATCCCCCATTAAACACCCAGCGTGAAGCAGCGCGGTTAGTATGCTTGCCTGTCTGTTTCAGTTAAAATGAAGCTTCGAAGCGCTGTGCTATTTTTCTAATTTATCCATTGTTTAACGTCAAGGTGCCTCTGAAATCCACCTATTTTTGAGACCCCAGTGAAGGTAGTTTGCATAACCTTTATTATGCCACATTTATTTAAATTAGGACTCAGGCTTTCTCTGTCCCTGGGCACACCTACCCTCTTTGCTCATTTGTCAGACTCCTGAGCAAATGTATACTTTCTCCCACATGTCCAAGGAAGCAGACTGGGTGAGACTCTATAACCCGAGTCAGTCTGTGGGCTTCCCCCCTCCACACTGCCAAACACCTAACTCAACACAAGGCTGTCTGTAGTCCTGGGGATTGGATTTAGAGACCTTTCTTCATATGTTAGGCAAGTGCCCTTCCGTGGAACTATACCCCCTTCTATCATGCTTTTTGAGAAAAGGTCTTCCTAAGTTGCACAGACAGACCTTGCACTCACTCTATAGCCCAAGCAAACCTTGAACTTGAAATCCTCTTGCCTCTGCTTCAGAAGGAGATTTATTTTAGGTCTCTGCCACCAGGATCCGGTTTTAATAGAAGTTTTGGTCCTAGCAGAGGGCAGATGATAGTGTGGGAAGGCCACGGCCCTGGGCAGCAGGAGTCTGTCAGTTCTTACAGCTTAACATGGACTTCCAGTTGCCTTGGTAGCTCCCTTTGGTCAGGGAACCTGCTTAGGCCTGGGCCTGGAGCTGAGAAACTGACTGACTGTCAGTGTTTCTCAGTTGTCCACCTTCCATCTTGGCTCTGTGGTCTTGCTCATAAGTGCCCTTGACAGACAAAGAGATAAGAAACAGGGGCCAGAACACCTTCTGCTCTGTGAGAGGCAGACAAAAGCAAAGGCCTTCATCTCTCAGGTTCTGTGGTGAGAACCTGAGAATCCATAGCACCTACACTGTGTTAGTTTCCTGCAGGTGTTGGATCCCTGTAGGCAGAAGGTGTTTATAATTGTTAGAAAACAGAAAAAGGAAGCTGACAGGTACTAACCAGGCAGGGCCTGTGTGTCAGAGCTGGAGGCCTGGGTTCTGGCAGTGCCCTGTGGCCTTAGCTTGATTATGAACTGGAGTTCTTAGTGGTAAATCTTGGCGAGCACATGGCTGTGGCACATATAACACCTGCTCCCACGATCTTATCTGCCGGACACCCAGCCAGATGACAGGTCATGTTCACTGTGTGGGGTGGAGGTGAGGGATGATGCTGGGGGAGAGAATGCTTGTGCTCCCAGAGCACTTTCCTGTTGTGCTCCCAGAGTGAGACTGTTGACTCTTCCCACTTTACAAAGGAGAAGACAGAGGCTCAGAAAGACCAGAAATCTTAGATCAGAGGGGTAAGTGACAGCCAAGGATGTGGCTAAGCCTGATAGAATGGTACCCACCTGACTCAGGGGCTGGGAGTCGTTCTTGTTTCAGAGAGCTATCACATGATCACATCATGAGCCACATGCTGTAAAAGATCCACTGTAAAATAGGAGTGACAGATACCTGTACCTGTCAGCCTGCTGAGAAAGGAAGAAAAAAGAAGAGGAACCAAAGGCAGGGATGGATCAGTGCTGTGCGTGTTTCCTTCTGTCGCAATACTTGATGCTCACAGCTTCCTTCGAAGGCAGGTGCTATTGACAGTATTACCACCCCCATTTTACAGATGAGAAAACATGGGGTTTTGAACTAATATCTCCCCAGCCTCAGAGCCCATACACCAAATGGCTGCTGTACCCACTGCTCCTTTGGTCAGTAAGCACGAAGGTGCCTTCTGCTTGCTTAGCACATCCTCTTAACTCAGGGCATTTTGTCATGTTAGTTTCCAAAAATCAACTCTATTTTTCCTTCTCTCCAAGTTATTCTTTCACTTTTCACTCTCTATGAAGAGATATCTTATGCTAACACAGAGCCCAGCCATGGAAGTCTCAAGTATCAAAAGGGCTAGTTCAGTTTAAGCATGTCTGTAGGATGTACAATACCTTTCTGAAGTGTGTGTGTGTGTATTTAAATTAACCTGTGTTGACCTGCTTGTGGAGTATAGTAGTAGTACGGTTAGATACAGTATGTAGTAGTTGAATTAAAATTAGTGTTTCCACTCTTTCATGTACTACCCATTCTGTGGTAGAAACACTCAACTTCTCCTTGAGTTACACTGAAATATATACTAAATTGTTGTAGACTAGTTAGAACTGGGCTAGGGCTGTAGCGCAGTGGTACAGTGCTTGTCTCCCATTCATGAGGCCATGGGTTGAATCCCCAGGACTACCAGAAGAGTATTGGACCGGCTCTCTCCTGTTTGATACCCGTTACCAGGACTGTCTCTATTTCCCCATCCCCTTCCAGCCTCCAGAGTACCTGTGTTCAGCTTTATCAGCTTTCGAGCATGTGGGTTTGTCTTTCTGGCTGGAAAAGTAGCTGGCTTCTTTCACTTAACATAATGCTTTCTGGTTCTGTCAACATGGGTACAAACATAAAGGTGTCTGTTTTAAGATGGGATAATAAATTGCATTTTAAAAGTCATTCACTCCTTTGGTGGGTATCTTGGTTAATTATATGTCTTCGCTATGGTGGACAGTCCTGCAGGAAATATGGGGGTACATTAACTTCTCAGGTAATCAAGATAGAGAGTTCTCTCTCTCTCTCTCTCTCTCTCTCTCTCTCTCTCTCTCTCTCTCTGTGTGTGTGTGTGTGTGTGTGTGTGTATCTAGCTATGCCTTATACC